GGTTCTTGTTCTTGAGCAGCTCTCGGAACGATCGAACGTCGTCTTCGTCCCTGTATTGAAGTATCATCAGATCAGCAGCGGCCCGAACGAATCGAGCAATCGGGGAATGCATACGTGATGAGACCGCGGTCGATTTGACTCTGGGTGAGCTCCCGCAGGTAGGGAAGCAGGAGCGCGTCGTACTTATGCGTCCCCTTGTACTGCATAGCAGACCATGCTCCCAATAATCAGCCGCAAACAGTCACAAGCATAGCTGGACACTCACCTTGAGCATGACGGGATCCGTCTCTGAGTGCACCTTCTCCAGGAGGGCCGGCACGAGAGGGCTGTCCGCGAAGTCTTCGATCTTCCGCAAGATCGGGTGTCTGTGTAGTGAGCTCGTAACATAGTCCCTTGCCATGCAGGTGTACGTTGATCGCTCACACTCCGAATATGATGGCGTTGGTCCGTGGGAGCTTGCGAAACGTCTGATGGTCGATGCGCAGCCAGAAGTCCTTCGGGTGTATTTCAGGGTTCGCCGGTGCAGATGCGATATTGTCTACGGCAGACTTGGAGGTAAGCGTCGGGATGCATACGTCCAGAGTCATGGGACTCACGCCAGAACAGGTTGCGATCGTCCGTGATCATCCAGCTGGACCGCTCGAACGGTTGATCCGGTTCAAAGCGCTTGAGCGTGCGTTCGACGCTCATGAGCAACTTCTCGTTGAAGTACGGCACCGGTGCGTGGAGGACCCTAATCGGTTTCCCAATGGTCTCCGAAAGAAGGTAGAAGCCTGAGAACGTAGTCAGCTGGGAGTCACGGCTGGAATATGAGCTGGAACACTCACCGGGGAATCCGATGAGACCGCCTACGAGATAGATCTGCCCGTCTTCCCGCTCTCGGCCCATCAAGAAGTCGTCCTGGACCAAGCTACAATACCATGAGGACGCACACTGTGTCAAGGCGTAGGGCTTACCGAGAGATTATGCGCAACGCTTCGATGCCGCGCTTTGTGCTCAGGCCTTCGTGTCGCTCGCCCATGACATGATTGGTGATCGTCTCGTACCCTTCACGAGTAAACAGCGTTGGATATCGTTTCGGAAGGTAATCCACAAGCTCCACGAGGAGTTCCCCACACGCTTCGTCGTTGTCCGGCAGCGAGTCGATGACGACCTTGCCTGTACGGGATGCGATGAGCTTGGGGACACCGCTTCGTCAGGCTGACAGACCTTGTTCCTTGATCACCCGTGCTTTCTCGTCCAGATACCACTTGTACTCCTTGTCGATCTCGATCCAGTGGTTGGCGTGCATGGGCTGATGAGCCATGGTCTGTCCGGGCGCATGGAGTTAGACAACGCGGGTAAGTCGGATTATAGATGGGATACTTACCTGGTAATATGGATGGCGCACTGTCTTGTTGGAATATACGAAGTTCCGCGATGTGGTCTTCTCCAGGTCGAACTCGGTCAGAGGATCGGGATCCGGGAGTGACGATCCCGGGAGCGGGGCGACCCCCTCTTTCTCACTCGCAACCCCTTGGAACTCCCTAGATGGCTTCGCATACGGCTGTCTGAGACGAAAGTGAAGCCAAGAGAAGAGACCCGCGACAAGGATTGCGCCGCACAACACTACGGGCTCGACCGACATGCTGGCCAGTAAGTGGGTCGGTTCAAGCTCCAATATCTTCCGTTCAGGCCGCTTATCAGGCAGGAGAGTTCAACCTTCCTGACCGAAGCCGCGATAAATAGCAGCCGGTGCGTATTGCTCCGCCATGTGGCAAAGACTCAAGACGTCCCATGATTCAGTCTCTTCCACTCTCAGGCCGCCGTCTAAAATCGCCTCTTAGCACCGTTGGCCCCGCGGTGTTGCGTCCTCAGGCTGATCAGCATGATCTCTGTGCTACGCTGTTGAAGCAAGCATATCCTTGGCATATCCTGCGCAGTGCGCACACCCAAGAGAAGATCGGACTGCACCCTGTGGATACGACCTGGGGCCTAAGGAAGGAGTTACACGTAAGTAAAGTTCAACCTTCTCCTGCTCCCATGGTGAGTCTGTCGCACGTACACGTGTCCCATATCATTCTCCAGGCGGCTTGAGGCGGCTGTCGAAATTTCCAAGTTCCAGGATTTTTGCGGATGGACTCATCCCAGAGTAAGGCTCTAATCTCAGTCAACGTCGAGCGATGCACGTATATGGACAGCCTGTGACGGAAGAGATTCGGAGCTGGCCGGGGCCGAGGAGGTGGACGGCTGCCGCGTGGGAACATTCGGGTTCTACCGATGCGTTAGCGAGCGCACTGACCGTTGACGCGGACGAGCGGCTGCTGCTGCAAAGTCTTGCTATGTACAAAGTCAGTAAGTATGTATGCTTCCAACATTCCAAGCACTTTCTCATCCCTATCTGCTGACCCTTCACAGGTTTACTTACATTCATGGATGTCTCCAAGCCACTGGCGGGAGCAATGAGGGGTCTCGAAAGCCGGTCGTCGTGGTAAGTCCTGCCTGTCCTCTCGAAAGCTAATGGTGGACGTGCCCGACTCCTGGTGTCTATCATACTTAGCGCACAACATCAGCCCCTGTTGTTTCCGGTCGCCTCTCCCAATCAATCGTTCATCCGAGTCTACGCAGCGGGCCGTCCATCCAAGCGAACCACAGAGTACGGCACAGCCACTAGTACTACCGCCCTCCGGTGTCTGGGTGACATATTGCCGGTTGCTTGTGCCGAGCAAGGCAATCGGCGGTACTGGCCTTCATGATTCCGGACGAGGGCGAACCTGAACACGCGGATCCCAACCCCATGCCGAGGCCACGTTGTAACGACCAGCCTTGACAAGCCCTCCAAACTACGCACTCGAGACGGCCCCTCCTCATGTGGGTGGTGACTACACCTCCGCGGGTGCTGCTCTGTTTGTAACGATTCCCCATCCCGCTCTATATGACTTCCGACTTGACGCACGAGGTCCCATCTTCTATTGGAGACGCCCCGCAGCCCCTCCACTTCGCGCGTTGATACTCAACGCAAAGCCCATATCATACGGGTCAGCCGTGCCTCTCTTGCCCTGGCATGCAGTCGCCGGATGTAGAAGACCAAAGACCGCTCGAGGATCCAGACGCGAGCATGAATACGCTGCTTAACCAACGCGGCGGCGATGATGTTGTGGGTAACAATTTTTCTCGCATCCTAGCCAGCGTCCAACACCGCAGCTCCATCCAGTGACCCCGGCCAGGGCTGGTACGTCGCTCATCTTTCCCTCTTCGTTCATCCCTCAAGCTAACCCAGGACAGACGTGTTCCGCTCAGGTACACCAGCATGACGCTCGGGCTCGCACTGGGCGTCGCGCCCGATTCGCCGACCCCACTCCAGTTCATACTCATGTTCTACATCTTGCACAACTATATCGGAGCCGGCTCTCCTCCACTTTTCCGGACATCCGCTGTGATTCGCGACCGGCCTGCGGGTCTGAGCCTCTCTGAATCGTCAATCCCGAGTCGAGAGGAAACGAGAGCAGATGCTCATCGGTCATCGTCCGAGGCGTTACTGCCTACGATTACCTTTTGTGGCAAGCAGGGGTTATCATTCATGGACGCGGAGCGCCCTCGCGTTCCTGGGTCTGACAGTGGACGCTTGGGCGTGGTCGATATTAGCCTCAAGGCTATGGTGGCCCTGTCAGGTGTCGCTGGGCAGCACCTGCGGAAGATCGGTACGCACGTAGTAGGGTTTGAAGGACGCCTTAGGGGGACGTAAGCCCGGCGTACGTTTCGTAGACCTGCTACTTACTACGTGTTGATCTGCGCCACCTCGGTTGCGTTACAGCACAGTGCACACACTCGCGTTGGTTTACGTTACTTACTCTCACTTCGTGCAGCGCATCTGGAAGGACTCTGCCACAGACTCGGAGTCGGACATCGCGCCGTCGTTGAACGCTGCAACTGCAAGGCACGCCGCTCAGGCACGGTCGTCGACTGCGACGTGCGGCCTTCCCAGCTCAGATCTTCCTCTCGCGGTCCACGGCGCAGCGTCCCGTCCATTCGAACGCAAACCTTACGGCGCCGGCGTCCTCAACTTCGGGGCGTCGCGCTTCCGCATTTGCTCGGAACCGCCGGCGGGCAGAGCTGTGACCTCGCATCGGGCCTTCTAGCACGCTCGCCCGTTGCTGCCGCTTGCTGGGTGCCTGTCATTGCGCCGGAGTGGTTCCCGGCGCTGTGCAGATGGATGCTCGGTCGAAGCATTTTGACACGGGAATTGCTCTGTGTGGGCGCCACCAATGACACAAATGGCCACTGGGTACCCAAGGATGTCGCTGTCGCGGTCAGTTGTGGGCACTCTTGGGCATTGGGCCCTGAATTGACGACGGCGCGAACAGAACTCTCGGCAGTGATCGCAATGGTGCCTGAAGGCTCTGCCCCGGAATTGACCGTCCCAGCGCAGTCTTGGGCGTACCGCCAGGCACGACTCACGAGAGATGCCCGAGTGCGGCCTGGAGGCCTCTGCGCAAGGAAGCCGCGGGCGGTGCGGTCGATGGATGCAGTGGCAGCCCCTGTGGGATATCAACGTTGACGGTCAAGGTTCTCGATCTGCCCAGAATTCGCATCGGGCTTTGCACGTCGGTTCTGCCTGCCTACTCGGGCTTCAAGTTGCAGCCATTGGAGTGAGCAGCTGGACAAATACCCCCTCACACACAGCTTGAGTTTGAGGAGGTATGGCCTGGTAAGCTTCGTTGCTTGGAGGAGCATTCAGCGCAGTATAAAGTCACATATGTTGAAGTTAGAAGGTCAAGAGCGTCGAATGGATGCCTTCGGGGTTGGCAATGGGAACCTGCCACCAGTACTTATACACCGACGTCCCGGACCAGCATACTACTCGGTGGCACACATAAGGTGAATCGGTGCCATGTCCTTCGAGACTAGGTAACAGGTCACAACCGCGTCTTTTGTGAGGATCCTGGCATATACAATTCATCTGGAATCAGGGGGAAGCTGAACAGATGAGTACCTGCAAAAACACACTCGAACCAGTGTAGTGGACATGTCCGGGATTGAACCGGACCCCTCTCGCAGGCACTGATTGATGCTAAGCGAGCGTGATAACCAACTACACCACATGCCCATATGATGTCTGAGGCCAACATTGTGATACATAACCTTGTTGGGCACTTATTTGGATGCCGACCCAATCTTCAGTAATGTATGGATGCGCCTATATTCTGAAGTTCTAGCTAACTGAGAAGCGACTGCAGCTGGCTGGAGTACGTGCAAAATCCTGCAACAATACTTACAATATACAATACGACTCCGAGGAGGTGCCTTGGCGCATGCGCGTACCTCAGCCACATCGCAGTGATCTTCCCCGCGAGATCTGAGATCATATGTACGCGAGTCGAGGACGCCTGCGCTTGGGCAGGGCATGAGACGGACGATGTCATCAGGCAGGTGCGTGTGTAGTCCCTGGCGAGTTACATAAAATGCAGTTCGACCACTCGCGAACGTGGAGAGGTGCGGGAAGTCAAACACGCAGACCAGGGACAGCACTGCTCGGGCGCCTGGTGATCGGTCGGCGGTGGGATCAGAGTACACGCCGGCGGAGGAGAGCTGGTGAGAGCTGCTGCGGGCTCGGGGCTGCTGCCGTCGTCGCGGTCGGCGTGCGAGGCAGAAGAGCAGCTGGCTGGGCAGCGGCTGAGAATCCACTGCTGCTCGCAGCGACGGGCAGAAATAGCGGAATAAGTCGCGATAAGTTGGGGACGCAGGCATTAAAGCAGTTGCCATATGCGGCAGCTCAGGTACAGAGTGATGTGCCTGGGAGGAAGGCGGACTCCAAATGGACTGCGTCGGACTCTTCCCCCTCCTCCCCCCTCTCACCACCGTCGTCCCCTCTCTCCATGCCGTTCCGCCCGACGTCCAGCGCAGGCAGGCCGTCGTCCGCCCGCCCCAGCTCAGGCCGCCCCGGCACCGCCGGCTACTTCGACCGCGAGCCCCAGTACACGTACGACTACTCGCTCGACGAGGAAGACGAGGACGACGAGTCCGACGCCGGCGACGTCTTCGCCTTCGGGCCTCCCCCTACAGCGACCTCCCCGATAACCCCGCCGCCCCCGACATGGGATCCCAACAGTGTCGACCGCGTCGGCCCCATCGGTCCCGACCCAGGACCCTCCCAGCCATACCACCGCGCTCCATACCCGCTCAGCCCCGTCGAATCGCCCCCCTCGACGGACTCCCAGAACCAGGACGATAACCCGTACCGAATGCGCAGGATGGCTCCCCCCTCCGCCTCGACCGTCCCCACAACAGGAACAGGGCGCTTCACCGGCGTGAGTTCAGCCATCAGCTCCCGGGAAGTGCATGTCTCGCTGCCGCAGGGCGAGCGAGGCAAAGGGAAGGATCGTCCGCCATCGACGGCGAGGTCAACGAGTTTTCCGAGCGTTGCGGACTCGGCCTCGATCAAGTAAGTCATCCCATCACTCTGCTGAGTCTGTTGCGTCTGTTTGTTACGAGGGCGGTGGAGGTGTCCCACGGATGATTGACCCCTGC